TCCAACTGCTCTGCGAAGGCCTGGAACTCTTAAAGCAGGCCTTGAGGGAGTGTGGCGCGAACGACGCCCAACCGTGTCCGCCTGTTGATGAGCCAGGGCAGCTCTGAGTCCAAGCGCCGGACTTTCACGGTCTTGATCGTGCCAGCTTTGGTTCCGACACGGTGCTCCCGCCACTCCGCAACTATCACACAATCTTCGCTACCGAAATGCCCTGCTCCCAAAGTCAAACCACAGCCCCTATACCGTCCCATGCGGGCGCCCGATGCGGACAAGTAAATGCCAGTGCCGTATCTACAACATGGGTGTGCTGTATGTCTTCCGGCAGACAACTGGCATGACAAGCTGGCATGACAAGCTGTCCGTTCGAGGGTGTGGCGTGTTCCTGCCTTCGTTGTGCCAGCATCCTCTGATTCACCCTATACGCTTTTCCCTGAGAATCTCCATGGCTCTTACTTGTTTCCTGGTTCATCTCATGTTCCGTTGTTGGCCTTATGTCGTCTTTACGAGCTAAGACTGGCAAGTTCTTAGCAGTAGAAAAGCATTGCATTACGAAGCTCTGCTAAATCGTGAGGAAGTCTAGATTCTTAAATCGCACATCTATAATACGAAGGTATATGCTCTAAAATGGCCCTGGCTAGATGTCCTAAAGTGTAGAATTTGGTTGGCTTGGGGTCCAACCTTTGGAAGCCGAAGCAAAACCGCGACTTCTACATGCCTTACGAATTCCCCGCAGCTCTGCACCAATAATTTCCGCACCGCCCAAGCCCCCGAAACCCCTCAATCAAACTCTCATGACAAGTTCATGCCTTGTAACAGCCTGAATCCAGCATCGCAGCTCCAGAATACGAAGAAATCGCACCAAACCCTAAACCCTAAACCCTAAACCCTAAACCCTAAACCCAAACAAATCCTGGAAACCCTCCCGACTGAGGCAAAGGCTTGAAGGGCAGCGGAACGTAAGGAGCCGGGCCGAAGTTCACGTGAAGATTCCTTCGTTTAGGGTTTAGGGTTTAGGTTTTTTTTTTTTTTGCCTCCTAGGGTTTAGGGTTTAGGGTTTAGGGTTTAGGGTTTAGGGTTTAGGGTTTATAGGGTTTCGGGTTTAGGGTTTCACGACGGTTTGCAGCATTTTTTTGGCACTTGCTGTCATGTTATGTAGGGGTCTGAAAAATTCCTTACACCGTTCTACAAGCTTTCCTTGATATGCCCAAACTCACCAGAAAACCCAATTTCAATGTCTAAGGCTCCTAACCTAAAGGCGGTCTACCAGAGAAAGAACTCACACGAGGCTGTCGTAGCGGTTATAGTGGCTACAAGACAAGCCGGGACACTTTGGGTTTGCGCTTTAGAGCTTCGGCTTTACGGCTCAGGATTGGGATTCGGGTTTAGGGTTTAAGGGCAGGAGCATACACGAACTTGGAGGGCTTAGGGTTTCGGCATGAGTCGGGTCAAATGCGACTTCATGTCAGCCCTCATCTCAGGCCGGCACATGTTCTTGTACGTGAGGGTTGGGAACAATGCCTCGCGGCAGGACATCCCAGAAGTCACCCCTTCTTGCTACGCAAGCGTGGCTTGGGTTGTGCCGGTTACGCGCTGCGCTTGTTTAATTGCGGTTTGGGTGCCCTGATGCCTCAAGTTTAAACCATGCGCCTGAAGCTCGTATGTCTAAAAACAAGTGTAGCATGCTCATGTAAGCAGCTGTATGAATGCGGACGACCTCCTCGTTGAGTGATGTTCAGAAGACTTTGCTTGGGAAAGTAACCTCCTGCGGATATCTTGGGCTTTTCCCTGATGGCGAGTTAGCGCAAACCCACATCAGCATTGAGTCCACGATGCCACCTCAAAACCGACTGGCAATATCTGCAAGTCCAATGGCTACTGCCAATGGCCAGTAGAGCATCTCCATTCATGTCTGCCTGTCATTGCGTGCTGCATTCGTGAGCGAACGCTGGTCCACATGCTCCAGATGTCAAGGACACTAACACCTGAACCCTTGAAGCCGTCCTTGCTGCACTGTAAACCCCATATAACACTTGAAGTGCAATCCCTAAAACGCAAAAATCCTGAACCCGAAACTCGAAAACAAAGGTGTGTCTTGATTGCTGGCGCTGCAGTGTTTTATGAGTCCGGGGGTTCAGAACTGAAACCTTGCCGAAAAGTCCTTACGAATTAGGGCTTAAGGTGCAACCATATCAGAAAGCTTAGGGCGCTGGGCTTGGGCTTGAGGGCTTGGGATTATGTAAGGGTTTGGGGGATGTCTGGGGCTTAGATTCACGCAACCGCTTAGGGCATGGGGTTCGGACTAGCGGCTTGGTAAAGGGATTCTCGTTTCAAGGTTTAGGGCCCTAAACCCTAAACCGAAAACCCTAAACCCTGTTACGAAGCAGACTTTGTTGGCCTCCAGCCTGGCTAGGCAGGAGGGAAGGGTCTGCAGCAGTTTAAGTTAAGGTTCAAGGTTATGTACCAGTTTGTGGCTTGGGCTTCTGTAGAAACTATGTAATACTGGATTGTGGTTTATTCTTTACCATAGGCAACGTTGCAGTAAGAAGTATTATTAGTATAATCACCATCTTTATCATTATGCTTATGACTTATGATTATGATTGTTACGATTACTATAGCTATCATTGTTACTATTGTTATTATTGTTCTGACGACTACTATTACTACTACTACTACTACTACTACTACTACTACTATTACTACTACTACTGCTGCTACTACTACTACTACTACTATTATTATTATTATTAATATTACCATTTAGGGCTTAAGGCTTAAGGGCCAGGGGTAGCACAGGACCGGGCCTTTCCCTGGAGGCTTTCGGGCAGCATCTGAGGGTCCGCAAGACGCTGGCCATCTCTGTACAGGGACACCGTGTTCATGTTGGGACCTCGGATAGGGTTTAGGGTTTAGGATTTAGGATTTAGGGTGTTCATGTTGGGACCTCGGATAGGGCTTATAAGGTTTAGGGTTTAGCGTTTAGGATTTAGGGTTTAGGGTGTTCATGTTGGGACCTCGGATAGGGCTTAGGGGTTAGGGTTTAGGGTTTAGGGTTTGGGGTTTACGGTTCCGTGTTCATGTTGGGACCTCGGATAAGGCTTAGGGTTAAGGGATAAGGCTTTGGGTGTTCATGTTGGGACCTCGGATAAGGCTTTATAGGATTTAGGGTATAGGGTTTAGGGTGTTCATGCTGGGACCTGGGATAAGCTTAGGGTGTTCATGTTGGGACCCTGGAGGAGGCTTAATCTGGGGACTTAATAATTAGGAATAGGGTTTTGGGGCCCATTATACTAGTTTTATAATCAGGAACCCCCAAACTAGTGTAGGTAATTATTTCGGCCCCTATATTGGGGTTGTTTTTCCTCCTTCTTGGCAAGGACGAGGCTTACGGTTGAGGGTTGAGGGGATAAGGCTTAGGGCGTTCATGTTGGAAGCTCGGATTTCTTTGCCTCCCACCTAGCTAGGACACAGCCTCGGGACCTCGGATAAGGCTTAGGGTTTATAGGGGCCGTGAGTGGGTCGCCTTGGCCTTATGGACGGTGGGCTTTAGGGCTTGGGCCAGGGTACAGGGGAGCTTCAGGTACATTGTAAAGTCCTCCAGGAAAGCTATACCACATGCCGGTAGCACTATGCATAGGCAGTGTTGTAGATACTGCTCCCGATGCAGCACCCAGAGAGGCCGGTAGACCTTGAGAAGAGGCTTGAAAAGACCGTTAGGCCACCAAACATCTGCAGAACCATGCCCCACTGCAAGGGTTTAGGGTTTCGACTCACACACTCCATAAGGCTGGCATGGGGTTTATAGGGTTTAGGGAGTACTTGATGCCACAAGGCACCCGGGATCTAAACAACCGGACCGGCGTATTGGGAGCCAATAACATGAAAGGTCTGCAGAGGAATGGTGCTGCCTCTGTCTCCGACATTACCATGGCTTATTAAACGTTTTTGTATTTACTTTAGGCTTCCAAAAGCCCAATAGGCACCTGAAACACAGGTAACTGGACGTCTGAAAGGCAGCAACTTACAAACCTATGTTACCCTAAACCCTATCTTGAACTAGACTATTTCCGATCAGCTGGGAAGCAATCCCTGCAAAGAAAAGAGCAATCAAAGGATGCTCGCTACCCTGAAGTCCAACCCTGAAACCCGGAATCCTGAATCAGATGTTCTCAAGCCAGAGCCCCTCTTCCAAGAAGATTGGGGCCGTGCTGTCTGAGTCCAAGTTCAACACCTGAGCCGGCGAGCCCATGATACTCTTAAAGGTTTTAGTTTCATTCATGTTACCTATAGTTTCGGACTCGTTTGCCATTACTGCCTCCCGGATTCCGACGGATCATTAAGTTGTGCTGCGCAAGTATGGCCGGTCCTGGTTTACACGCGGCCAACAGAGCATAGTACCTTCTCGCTACTCGCTTGAATCACATATGCTTCAGACTTCAGTCGTCTTAGCTAAACTTTAGACTCTAGACTAGGCCTGTCAGGTCTCTCCAAACTCGCATGTGCTGTAAGCGTACAAGCTCGGAGTAGAATAAGGCGGATGTGGGCCAGCTGGCTTGGAGAGCATGCTGAGAACCCATCACAATCGAGCTTCGCAGGATTTTTTGTTGCCTTTCCTCATGTGCGATGCTTTCTTTTGGCTGCTTCGGCTGCAGAGGCGGCTCGTGGCGCCTGACCTCTGGCCATGAAGATCGGGCTTTGCAGCAGCCACAGTCTGTACACGGTAGGACACGGTAGGGTGGTGTATAAAAGCCAGCAACACTGGACATCTATACAAAAGCTGCAGGGCGGTTGAAGACGGATCACTCATGGACCAGTAGCTGTAGAGCGGTCCTTGTGTCCAGATCAAACCGCATTGGCTATTCCTGGACGTCTGTACAAAACTGCAGCAAGTAGAAGACGAATCACGCGCCAACCTAAGCAGTTGCGGTGTTCATATCTACCTGCAGCAGCTGGTCCTCAATTATGAAAGGGGATGAACCCACGGCATCAAGGTCTGGGTACTAGCGAACATCAACAAAGTCCTGGCCACACAAGTGGCTCACAGGCGAGAGCGTCCTGCATCTTTGCTGACAAGTTTGACTTTCGAGCTCGGAAGGCTCCTCCACATCGATGAAGGTCTTGCGCACCACTGTCTTCACGTCGGTCGCCTCTGTCAGTCGTTGCTGCAAGGCGTCAAGACTACGGTCATCTCGAAACCGGGGGCCCAAGGAGTCTTGCACACTTGGAGCCGTGGCTCCGCCCCGTGCGCGACGGTATGCCGACTTTTGCAGAGCATAGGCGCACTGAAACCGTCCTCGCACTCGATCCCAATCTGCCCGTTGAATGGCACACTGGTACGGGAGCAGCTCCTGCCCGTCGAGTGACTGGTAGAAGCTTGCCTGCTCTCCGATCCTCGTCAAGAACACGGAGAGATACTGCGAAAGCAGGAAGCTACTGCTACCAACCATGGTAGGATGATATCGGACCCAGGATGTGAGCCCTTCTCGCTTACCGGCATCAATTGTGGTCACATCCTCCTCGGCTGCCACTTCTGCCGCTGTCGCCGGAAGGAGGGGTCGGCCCCGTCGCCAGCTTTGAATGGTCAGGATGACGTAGTACTGCTGGTCCATCTGGCGCATTTCAGTGATGCCGGGTCGGTTCACGAACCACTCCATAAGGTCCCTTGCTGACACAAGCAGCTTCTCGAAGTGCATAGATGCCCACAGTGGTAGGACTGAGCGCACTTTCAGGACCATGTCTAGTGCAAAGGTGTTTGGACGCTGCGGGCGCCCGACGACGACAGCTTCGAGGAGCGCCGAGAGACTCTGCACTAGCATGACGCTGTCACCCTGTTGCGGATAGTTTCTCCGAGCCATGTGGCGCACTTGGCCGGTCCTCTCCGAAGTTGGCTGGAACCAGTTCTTGGTGTTGACGGCTCCACTGAGCGAGCAGAAGAATAGGTTGCACTGCCGATTAAACCTCCACGCCACTTCCCGCTTCACCACGGCATCGCCAGGGGCCAATTGCTGCACCACTTCGAACGACTCCTCAATGAGTTCTGGGTAGCTGCGCCTTGCCCAGTCGCGGGCTTCTGGTCGAAGGAAGAGGTACGAGGGGTCCGCAGGCGGCTCGTGGACGAGGATGTCCCTCAATGAGAACCTTATGAGATGCCCACCCCACGGACTCTGTCGGTGCAGCAACCTGCCAGCGGGGCATTCGCAGGCAATCTGCCAACCCTCATTCTCCAGCAAAGTCGGCACGAAGTGGAACCAGTCCTCGACGCTCTCCGGACGATACGCCATGCCAGTTGCCTCTGTCACTATTTCCCTGGATGCTCCAAAAAAAGTTTCCTTCGTTTGAGACTCGAGCCACAACCAGTGCAGATTTAAGCTCTCAAGGCCTCACTGCAGGTGGTGCTCGAATGTAAAAATACTAATAATATGAACTTATAGTCATAATAATAATCATAAGAGAAGTATAAGGGCCATAATCATTAGCACAGAGTCTGGAGACATGTTCTCCTACATGGGGAAACTTCAGGAACAACATGTTATTGCGACCCCTGTATTACTTTTTGCAGCACCTCAGAGAACCAGCTGCACAGCACCAGTAGCTAATGGAAACATCAACCCCTTGAAGGATGTGCCGGTTCATCCAACTTTTCCTAAGACTTCAACGACCACCCTGTGCACATTTTTCGAAATGCTACTCTTACAGTCTTACATCCCCAACCCCGATGGTTTGGTTCAGGCTCTGGCAACAGCCACCGTGCTTTCTGGCCCATACTTTGCATCTAAGAGCGGGATGCGCTTCCTGCACGGGATCAGCACAGAAGGTCGTACCCCTACATCTTCGGATGGTTTTTGCGTTCATGCAGGGCAATGGTAACATTGATGCAAACCCAACGCCGAGAGCAATGCCATGCGATGAGGGATCATTCCACTGTGGAATGTCACGGCGCTGGGATGGGTCAGGGCCTGCCCGAAACTACCATGGCTACTGATTTGTTTTAAATGTCTCCTTCACTTCGATAGTACGGGCTACGGCTAAGCTGCAAGAAGACGCTTGTGGTAGCCTGGCCTAAGGTCTTGGTTGAAGGATCCGGGTCTATTGGGATCGGAGGGCCGAGAGGACAGGTACCTATAGTCTCCATTGTAGTTCCTTTTTGGGATACCTTATAGAATCCTTAATATATAATTGGTTAAACCAAAAAAAGGAACTACAATGGAGACTATAGGTAGAAGTGGCTGAAGGTCAGGACCCCGAAGATGCTGGCATCAGAAAACTCCAACTTCCGGCTTCAGCCTATCAAGACACGGATTTTGAACGTGCATTCCCTTAAGAACCGCATGACCCAAAAAGGACGAAGCTTTCAATTCAGGCTTCACGGTTCAGATATTCAGATTCCAACCACTGCCTTAAGGCCCTCGTGTGTCAGGTACTGCGAACCTCTACATGAGCAGTGCCCAGCCGTCCTATTGAAGAGCAGGCCACCGTCGGAGTCGAAACAAATGCTTTCCTGTCCAGCCAGAGAGGATGTCAGTCTCGAGTTCAGGATGTGGGTGCATGAAAACCACATAATTGGGTAGTTGCCAAAATTATGGTCCCTTTTGGGGTGCCCTAAACAATAGGTGCTGTATTATAATAAGGACCCAAAAAGGGACCATAATTTTGACAACCACCCAATTAGGATGCAAACGAGGTCAGATCTATACTCAACAGAGGGTCTCGGGTTCCTGAAACATGCCGAACGCTGTGTTGAGAGAAAGATTAGACAGCCCTATCCCGCCGCAGGGATCCGCAGAAACGACCTTAAGCTCAATTGAGCCATTTAAAGGTTTAAGGTGGAATAACAACGAAGAGGTTTAGGGGAATGTCAAGATGGGGGTGGGAAGGTTTGTGAAACACGAACCAGCCGCTGAAGCAGCAACCTACTCTGCCTTAGTACTGCCTCTAAATCCTAAATTAAAGCCAAAACCCTATCGCTGCAACTGAAAGCCAGAACCTCAACCCGATACCCCGATAGCAATGTGAAGAATGCCCACCGCGGATGCCTAGTCCTGAGCCCTCTTCACACCTGCAATGAGTCCGTTGCTTCCAATCATCGAATCCTAAATCCCTACTACTACAATAGGGCCTTGAAGGGCGGGAAAGGCACCGCAAGCTTGCTAAGGGTTTAACGTGAGATGAGGAAAGTAAAAAACCAAAATCCAGACAAGCTTTGTAAGAAGTAGCTGTCTGCTGCCAGGACGTCGTTTCCGGGCCCAGGTAATTATATCTCTTACAGTTGGGTTGGGCCACAGCGTCAAGAATCCGGAAATTCTACATGGCCGGTCACAAAGTCTTAAGCGAGCTAGTGTAGGGGACCGGTTAATCATGCAGGGCATTGGCGTCTCTGGAACATTCCTCACATACAGCATACGGGGACTGCAAACAAAAATGGCACTGCACAAACAAACGTTCCCCATCTTCCTCGATGTCCCAACTCTGTGCGCTACACCCTTAACCCGACACCGAGACCTAAATGCCAAATGTTTCGGCTCCTCATTGTCACCCATGATGGGCGTTGATCTTGCTGTGGAGAACCTGGCACTTTATTGATCTTCTTCCAAGTCTTAACCTGTTACCTTTGCAAGTTTCGGGCATCAGGGTTTACGTACACAATACTTGGATATACCACATTGGCAAGCCCAAGCCTCAGTACCAAGTGCCCGCTATTAAGCTGTTTGAGGGCTTTATGTTCTGGACGAGCTGAATCTGCGGAATAGACGGCAGAATGCTTCGCTTCTCCAAGTCTGGCTACAACCCGTCGGGAACCCTTTGAAAGCCCTTCAAAGCCCCTAATTAGGAGGTATTGGGCTTCGACGGGTGTGTAAGAAGTCCGGTTCGGTGCTGCTGCCTAAAACAAGCCTCAACCTACACAGGGATTTCATGAATTGCTGGCAGGTTCCTAGGGTCCACACATGTGGGAGTTTCCGACAATAGGGGGTACCTTATTTTGGTGTCCTTATAATAAGGATCCTATTATTTAGGGTACTATATTAGGGTCCCCTATTTTCGGAAACCCCCATGTAGGTCTGACACTACCAAATAGGGGTTGAGAGTGACTATTTGGGGGTTCTTTCGAATGGAGGCTTTGACTCTGGTGGGCTTTCTTGCCTGTTGGCAACAGCCGACGCCCTTGAACGCACACCGCTGAAAGTAGCTCACACGGTCATGGTAGGATAGGTCTTAGTGAGCAAGATGTCCTGAGCTGCTGGGCTACGGCTCGTATTCTTCTTCTCGGGTTTATAGGGTTTAGAGTATCTTCTTGCTGGTCGAAACATGTGCTGAGTCAACCTAGCCTCAACCCTGGGCGTCCTCAAAACTGAAGTAAGTATTTAAGTAAGTAGCAATAGTAGCATGCATACTACAAGATAATATTGCTGTCATTAATCTTACTTTGAAGCAATGGACCTGGCGGATGCCAGCATTAGGTGAACCATGATTAGGTGGCCTGGCAGAAAGCCACGCTCGCGAGTGTCCCTGAAAGGGAGCCCTCTTAACAGGTGGGTTACCTTGTTGAGCAATCCTAACCATGAAGATCCTGCGACTTAGGGTGCAAATACAAGCACCAGAACTGTCTAAAATTCTCGGATCTATGACCGGTATAACCCCATGGCCCATAAGCACATAGCCGAGGCGACCCGACTCGGAGCACATGCTTTGGGACAGGCGTCCGCAGCTGCACCCCTGTAGCATTGCTTTGGGGTAGGACTGATAGGCAGATGAAAAATGATGACAGTTACTAGGAAGCAGAAACGACTGTGATAATTCCGTGTCCCCCGCATAATCAGCAAAACATGAAGGATGAATCGCAACAGTAGTCAGATCTCGTACTAACCCTGAAGCCAAGACTCAGCCTAGTAGCTCCCAAGCCCTGAAAGTTGAGGACGCGACATGCAGGACTTTGAACTACTCTCACGTACTGGCTCGTGCTCTGCCGTTAACTGCAGTGCCGTCAAGAAACAGATATAGGGGTGGCAAAAGTCAAAGACATGTAGGCTCTCATCTGTAGTAATTAGGTCTGCAGGATTTGAAGCTGTTTGGTATAAGCATGGCTGACTCCAGTCCTGGCGTTTAGAATGCCCAGACTGCGCAGCCCTAACCCATGGACCCCGAATTAGACGGTTTCTGGCCTTGGCTTTAGGGCATTTTTTGACATCTGGGCTTGATGAATGCCAAGGGCCTGAATCCTCAACCCCAAACAGAAAGCATCAGAAAGCACCATCAAAGCCAGCAGAGTAGCCTGCATTTGTGACTGTATTGCGAGACTGGAGCAACTTTGTCCAGTCTCAGGTGCTGTCACTAAGCTCTGCCCTTTGCACGGCGCCCATTATTCCTCGAGGAACCTCGGCAACCATAAGCCTGCCTCTTAGGTTTGACACCTTCCTGAAGAAAGCTTTGCCGGAGCTCCGCGAGGAACAACGAGCCTTTCGGCAGGCATTCGAATGTGCGTGAACGCGAACCGCTCAGCTAAGCCTTTTCTCGTTTCAACGAGATAAGCCAGATGCCCAATGTATAGCTTAGTATTATGATAGATAGGTTCAGTAATACAGTAAGGGTTTAGGGTTTAGGGTTTAGTATTAACTATGATAGAAAGGTTCCGTAATACAGTAACCCTATAAGTTAATAGTTGGATCAAGTGCTCGCCCACACTCTAACCCCAGCTCCCAGAATCCTAATACTCACAGTGCAGTCCTCCTACCCATCAAGGCTAGACCTACCTTCACCTACCAAAACCTACTTTTTGTAGGGTCCTTATAAATTCCATATTAGGGTTTATAATAGGAACCTACAAAAAGTAGGGTTTGGTAGTTTAAGGTATGTAATAAACAAACATCTCGAACAGGTGCAAACCAGAAGTTTCCATCCCGAGTCCTTTCTGCGAGGCTACGGGGTCTTTATAGCCACAACAGGAAAGCAGCGGAATTGAAATAAGATCTAACCCAAATAAACTTCATATGGGCTCCCATTATCTGACGAAGTCATACACAAATAGCAGAGACCCTGAACGGTAAGCAAACACCCCAAACAACAAAATTGAGCCTGCAGGAGAAGGGGGTTGCCAAAAATAGGGGACCCTAATATAGCACCCTAAATAATAGGTTCCTTATTTTAAGGACCCCAAAATAAGGTACCCTAGTTTTCGGAAAGTCCCAGAAGGGAACTGGCAGGTGATCAGCCTAGTCGCACGCCCTTGTCTTAGCTATAGTCTCCATTGCAGTTCCTTTTTCTGGTTTAACCAATTATATATTAAGGA